ACAAAGAAAGAAAGAAAACAAAAACCAATGTGTTCTACCGTTCTGCGATAAAGTTGTGTGCACACATTTAATCTCAAATTACTCACTACAATGAAAATCAGATAATGAGGTAGCATATAGTAGAACAAAAAAAGTATAAGTTGCCGGTACTCCTAACAAAAACGATTTAAATTGATTAGTAGTATTAATTCTGAGCAGGTTTAAGTCAATTCTAAATTTTTTATTCAGATCAAGTCCACAACTTTTGAGTTTTGATAGCCATAGAATAAAATATAAGACCATGCCAAACTGGCTGTTGCTTTTGTACTGCACAACAAATCATCCAAATGACCCTTTTCCCGGACATCCACATGAAACTAGCATACACACGAATTTCTGCTAGCCTATGAATCACTTATCTCAGCACAGAGTTTTAGCAAGCTTGCATTAATTTTGAAAAAGAGGAAAGTACAATGACACAGTAACTTTTTTTTTTTTAAAGTTACTGGTTATTATTATGAAACAACTAACTACTTAAACCCCCTCCCGAAAAAAAATGTTTTAAAGTAAGTCTTCAAGCAGTAGAATAGCACATTAAAAGTAGTTCAGTCTGGAAAAAGGAAATTTAGAAGAAAAAAAAAGTGTGCTCTATATTTATATATTTTACTGAAAACTGTAACATTTCAAATTAAGGAACTTTAACTGAGTCAATGAGGTTATCTGGGTTTTTTTGTTAGGAACACTGGTTGCACAGGTTCACATTGATCAAGCATTGAAGTAAATGTGGGTCACGTGGGCATTTGCAAACTTTAAACTTTCTTATCTGAAATGGCCTCGTTTCGAAATCCAAATGAAGCATTTTATCTGGACATTAGACACCTGTAATCTCCATTCAAGAATCAGATAGCTCAGGCCCACTACTCAACCTTCCTTCTACTTTTTAAATGATGTGTCACAAATTACTTACTGTTGGGAAAGATGTAAAGTCATGTAGTTAAAGCCATTTCAAAATTAAAGTATTGATTGCTCTCAAATTGCTCCTTTCCATAGCACTGCTACTACTGTACCAACCATTTATTACATCAAAACATACAAGCTCAAAATCTTCACAGAATGGTAAAAAAAACAACCCTGCCAAAATGTAGGATATGTCTGCTCGTAGGGGGGGGGGGGGGAGAGAGAGAGAGAGAAAGAGAGAGACAGAGAGAGAGAGAGTGAGAGAGAGAAAGAGAGAGAGAGAGAGAGGGGGGGGAGGGAGAGAGAGAGAGAGAGAGAGAGAGAGAGAGAGAGAGAGAGAGAGAGAGAGAGAGAGAGAGAGAGCATACAATAAAGGTGAGTACGCTGGGTCAGTATGAATTCGTAAAAGCTGGCGATCACACAACAGTCAAAACTCGTTTAATCCCCCCCCCCCCCTTCTCCGCCTCGTCCGTTACACCACCAGCACTGCTTAATGCAAGGTTTGTCGATGAACGAAAACAACCGCCTCTATACTCTATGTAAACATAGTAAAATGTGCCTTTACAGCGCCATCCACCAAGTTGTAGGCTTTACGATCCGTATCAAACTATTCATGTAAATTCTGGCCGCCAGAGGCACACACTACACACGTCGAAAAGCACTACTCGGTGGCTGCTCTTTTCCATGACCATACACGACTCTGTCGAGCTCGCTCTTTTAATTTGAGAGCTTTGTCGCCGAATTGCTCCTGATTGTAAACATTATCTACTTTTCAGACTTTGACAAATAGCCTACACGTTGGGTCTTTTTTTTTAATCAAAAGATTTTTTTTATGTCACCCGGATTTGCGCCACCTCGGCCTGCGGCAATACCTTGCGTCGCCGTACAGAGGCCTACAAGCCTCGTTGTACCGCCAACTTCATACTCGCCTCAATGTTGGCGGTTTAACAGGGTCTGACAGTACATTTGAGAAGACAAACTGTCATTGTGTCTTGTTTATATTAACCCTTCCAGCCCCAGCCATTCTTTTTGCACTCCCTAACCCCAGTCCCAGCTAATAGAGCAGTATTTCAGAAAAAGAGGCATAATTCTAAATGGTGATGTGACATCTTTGTTATGAGGTTCAGACACAGTCTAACCTGTATGGAATCGCAACGGAGCCAGAAAGAATTCCGTCTTAGACAGGGAAATTTAGGGGGAGATGGAAGTTGGGGGGAAGGGAATGTCAAAGGCCCAACCGGTGGAGTCAAGGATCGCTTGTCCGATCTGCAAGCAGTGGTCAAAACTTCACACCTCTCAATTGCTATCCTGTCTGATAATGACATGCGTCAGTCTTACTTATCACTAGTGCTTGCCTTTCATAGGACCACTGTTCGACCTATTTAAACAGAAACGTTTGCACATCTTTGCTTCCATCCTTAGCCCCACCCATCGATGTAACAAGCACAGTCAACCAACCCCAATGCCACCCCCTCACTGCCATCATGTAACAACGATTCGAGGAACTCTTTTCTCGGCTGGCCGTACGATCAGGGCGGTTTCACACCTCTGGCTTCTGGCTACCCAGGAAAGTTTCGCTAGTGGCTCACTACTCGAGCACTCTCACGGGAAGTCGTGAGATTTCACACCCACACTACACTGATCATCTGCATCGCTCTGGGCTCACATGATGGGGTAACATCTACCCCCAAGGAGTTTAGTTTAATCTCCTTGTCTACCCCCAAATAGCACCCCTACCCCTCTTCCTCGCCCGGCGGCATGGCCATAGCGATAAGTTTAGAGCCGGCGGAACCAAACTTGCAAGTTTTGTTTCAGATCAGGATTAAACGGGCAAAGCATTTTCCGTCTTAGACAGGTGAAACCCTCGGAAAGAAGCGGATTTTTCTTTCCGTTTCCGAGTTGGACAGTTTTCCGTTTTATACAGGTAATTAAAGAGGAATATATCAATGAACAAGGGGGGAGCGGTTTCCGTTAAGGCAGGTTCGACATATAAACATATAACAATGTTTAAAGTTAAATGAACAAAAATATGAAAATTACATTTTCATTAAGTTTGCTAATTTCGAAAAATGAGCAAATTTGCTACCCCCCCACCAGAGAATATACGCTCTTGGGACGTTAAGAGGTACAAGCGCTGCTGAAAATATACGAGCATGGGGCTGGAACGGTTAAGACAAATAAATTGATAACAGTAATGCTTCTTTCCATGCCTTTTGTCTTTATCTGAACAATTAATCAAAAACTTGCTAACAAGAAACATAACTTACACTCACATACGGAGTGCTAAACAAAAGTGAAAGTAAAAAGTTGCCTGCAGTTGGAGGACAACATTACTATGAGCCCCGGCCTTCACATAAGATTACTTGTCACAACAAAGACCAAAAAATTATATGTATTTTATTAAAGCTTGGATGTAATTTTCAACAAAACTGAAAGTAAGTGCAAATACTCCCCCCTCACAACTTATTGAAGGCAAAGGTAGTATGAGAACTTTAAAATCTTCAGTCTCGATGGCAGACAGAGATCACTTCAATATAAACAGATTTTTTTTTTTTTAAACTTTAAAAACTTGTGAAACAAAACTTTGCCTTGTCCAACTTGTTGGAGGTTTCATTGAGAATGAGAAAGCATTCAAAATTCAGGTAAAGGCATCTTTTTTTAAAAAAGGGGGAAATGAACAAAAACAAAAAAGAATTCTGAAAAACATTCAATTCAGAGCTGATATAAAGAATGCAATGTAGAATCTAGCAATAATATTGCATAGGCTTAAATAGTAGCACAGATGAATTATAGAATAGTACACAAGACTTGTTCTACGGAAACTTACACAGAGATGTGAGAATGTGATGCAAACCATTTCTAATCAACACAACAGTGTCAAATCAATTATATTCCCTCTTGAACAGTCAGGGGGTTTAAATGAGGAAAGACTTGTAATCCAACCTTAAAAATCATGACAAGCTCAGCATTGAACCAGAATGTATTTTTAATCAGATCTAATTTCTCCTCTTTATCCTTCTCCACTGACTTAGAGCAGATACCTGTACTTGCTACTCATTATAGATATATCCATTAAAAAGACACCAATCTCCGCAACAGAGTAAGACATAAAATTTGTCAACATTCCCAAAGGAAGGAACTAATCTTGTGCATCCGATCTTGTCGTAATTCGATCTTTATTGCCTTGGCTACAGCATATCTTGCCTAATACCAAGGAATATCTAACCCACACAAATCAAACGACTCAAACGTTAAGATCGCCTTCAGAGACAGTAATGACAGTCACTTGCACACCAAAAAAGATGTATAGAACAAACAGAACCCATCAATTCTACAGATGTAATAATAAACAAAACTACAAAAGTAAAATATTGGAGAAAGAACCAGTATTCAAGCATCATTATTTTATTCTAAGGACCAAAAGAAAAATGTTTTTCTTTTGTTTGTTTGGTTGTTTTTTGTTGTTGCTGGGTTTGTTTTTTGGGGTTGTTTATTTTTTTTTCATCCTTTTTTTTTTTTGGGGGGGGGGGTATAATTTGCTACAGGACAGGCTATGCTATAACCTACTTAGGCTTTTTAGGCCCTTCTAAGCAAGTTACTTTTCTGAGCAGTAAATTCTAGCCTAAAGAAAGGAGGAAGAATGAGACTTCAGACTTCAGAACAACGGAACCCTACAGCCTAGGCTACACAATACCTAGACAAGAGCTGCAGACATTCGAGTCTCTTGCAAAACCTCCTATAGCAAAGGTAGCCTACCGTACTGATTACTAATCCCTACACAAGAAGATTCTTGATCTAGATCTACGTCTCTACTAGATATCTAGTAATACGCAATGTTATCAAACAATGATTTGGCAACATTCCACCCATCAAAAAGCGTTGACCCCCTCCTTCAATTTGTCCCTGTCCTCTAGTTTTGCTGCCTGCATGAAATAAGCGAAGCAGCAACAACCTC